TAATAATCTCAAAAACATGAGCCATGCGAACAGCACAAGTTTCACAAGCAACTTCTGGAGCGATGATGTTGGTTAGTTTACAATTCACGAGAGCCGCCACAGTGGCGAGATGTTAAATTATTTGGGTTGTATGGAGGTCATGGTTTCGATCCTGACTGACACCTGCTGTATATTTGGAGTTTGCATGTCTCTCTCCCAGTGGTCGCGTCGATTTTCCTCCGGGTCCTCCGCTTTTTTCCCTCCACATTTATAATCATGCGCTTAAGAGTGTTTGGCTGCTATAAATTAAAACGTGATAAGCCACTTCATGAAGCTATCATTTCAGGCCAGGTCACTTCTGAAAAAAATAACTAGATAACTTAGTGGGCCTTACCGGGTGAAATAACAACAGCTCATAGTTTAGTTCGCAAGTAACTCGCACGAATCCCGACCAATCCTCACCAACAACACGCGTGAGCGTACAACTCGATTCCGGCGAGTGAATCGCCACAGTGGTTGAGCGTGGGCCTCTGCTGCACGCTGGCACTGACGAGAGCGCGTCGGGACTCCCCACCACGGCTCCACTCGACAAGGGCCCGCGCAGCAAGAATGATCGCTATTCACAGCGCCGTGACGTCGGGGGGGGAAGGCGAACATCTGCTGCGGCTGACCGCCACTCGCCCAGATAAGGCTACTGCGGCGAAGATGGAAGGAAGCGGTGGGCCGATTTCTCTCCAACTCCTTCCCTTCCCGCCCACCCGCCTACCCTCCCTCCCCCTCTCTCCATGTGCGTCTCATTTATTATATTCTCCATGAATATAAACACAGCGCAAGTGGGGCTGAAATTACGGAAACAATCAGGGGTCCTGCGGTGTGGGGGGTCTTAGGCAGGGATTACCGGGGAGGGAGGGAGGGACGGGGTGGTTGGTGTTGGAGGCGTTATGAGGCCAGTGAGCAATGGTTTCCCAAAACAATCACAAAGCGCACATTCACCCGCCTGCGTGCGCGCTCTCGCACGCACAAGTACATGCGTGAGCTGACGGGCCGACGATACAACGGTGATTTACGTGGTGCCCGAACACAATACGCAACGCCATGGCAGCCCAGGTCGGCCGTCCCAACCCAAGTCAGCATGGCCAAAGGAGGGGACCCCGAGCCAGGCCCGAGCAGCCCCTGGGTGGGTGCTGCTGCTGTTGTTTTTGGGTGGCCAAGGGGGTAATGAGAGAGGGTACAGATGGGAGGGTAAGGGGCCCTTAAGCTGCTACAACAACACGGCCGCGATGGCGACCCCGACGCTGACGCCTGTATATCTGAAGTGCGTATATCTCTCTCCCCGTGGATTTTTCTCCGGGTCCTCCGGTTTTTCCCTCCACATTTAGAAACATGCGTTCAGAGTATTTGGCTGCTAGAAATTTCCACGCGATAAGCCACTTCGTTGAGCTATCATTTGTGGCCAGGTCGCTTCTGAAAAAGAAGTGAATAGCTCAGTGGGCTTTACTTGGTATAATAAAGAATTGTCTCGTTTACGTTTTAATTTCCGATAGCCAAACGCTCTCTTGCGTTTTACCACAGCTCCTCGTTGGTGCAAGACGCCAAAGCCGGCCACTGTCTTTGGTTATTCGCACACAGGGCAGACGAAAGCGACTGGGTGCGGGGGGAGAAGGAGAGGCCAGGGTTAGGGGTTCAGCTGGGTCTCTTAATTATTCACTGGGCAGATGGACGAATGGGGGTGGGGTGGAGGGGGGTGGAATTGGCTTTCCGAGACACAAGTGGAAACTTTTAGTCGGGAATGCCCATCACACACGGCAGACAAAAATAGTATTTCTTCAGAAATAAATTGACGAAGGGGCTGTTAAAACTAGGCAATCATATTACCAACATTAAGTGATATACTCCAGCAACAATTATAACGTACACATGACAAGAGAAGCGGCAAGATGGAGTGTAAAACAACATAAAATGCCATCACAGTAATGACAACAAACCACAAAACAATATGTAATCACCACACTGCTGCTAGGTATTGCAGTGCAATCGTTAACAATAAACAACGCAGATGAGACACAAACAACAACAAAAGTAAGCGGACAAATATGACACCGACTGCACACCTCTGAACAACAGAAACTGCTCACAATGCGGCGACACTTAGACGCTATATATATACCCACATTGTAAATTGTTGCACACCTCAATACAGTTCTGCAACAACAATAGTGATACTATAAAGGTGTGGCTTGAGACAACAACACCCACCCACGAATCATCGGACACGTTCTCCATGGCATGCGATATATCAGGGGTTCGTTAACCATACTTCACCACGCCGATCAATGCGTGTTGGTGACGATGGGAAGCACATATGTGGCAGCATTGATAATTATCAGAGAATAATAGAGCATAGAAGTAGAGTACAACAACAAAAAATGTTGGCACCACTCTAAAACGTTAGTATGTATGTTGAACTTCTTTCGCGCCATACCTTGCAAACCGTAATAGACAATACAAACAATCATTAAGTCATAAATATTACAGATACCAGTAACAAGAAAAAAACAGATTAAGAGACGAACAAATTCCACAACCAATATCAAACACGCAAATAGGGCACTTGCTACACACGACCCATACACAGACACACAAACACACAATAGACACAGACTATACACAGATAGATACCCACACATACAAACACGCAACAGGTACACACACACAAATAGGGCACTTGTACCACACAACCCACTCACACAGACACACACACAAACACACAATAGACACACAGCCACACGGATACAGACAATACACAGATAGACACTCACACACGCAGACACACAATAGGTACACACACTCACAAATAGGGCACTTGCAACACACAACCCATACTTCACAGACACACATACACAATAAACACACAGGCACGGACACACGCACACAGACAATACACAGATAGACAACACTCACACACACATACACAGACACACAAATAGGGCACTTGCAACACACAACCCATACTTCACAGACACACATACACAATAAACACACAGGCACGAACACACGCACACAGACAATACACAGATAGACAACACTCACACACACATACACAGACACACAAATAGGGCACTTGCAACACACAACCCATAACTAAACCAAACGGCAAATGTCAAACGTGCATTCTTCAAATGACAAGACACTGCCAGACAGAAGGAGAAACACGTGGACTGGGGAACATGGGCAGCAGGTTAATGACATCACGTTCAGTGACACGTCGCTTCAAGTTGATGGTGGTGACCGATGTCCGAGTTGAACAGAGAGAGCGATTACAGTCTGCTCGTGTGGCTGGTAGCTACATCAACTATCAAACGAATTATATTTACCAGGTTTAAGGCCCACAAATCTATGCAGCTCTTATTCAGAAGCGACCTGATAGCTCTATTTAGTGGTTCATCGCGTGGAAAAGTCGAGCGGCCGAATACTCTGAACGCGTTTTGTTGATTATAAATGGGGAGGGGAAAACCGGGAGGACTAAAATCTACGCGACCACGGGGAGAGAGACACGCAAACTCCGAACATACAGCAGGCATCGTCAGGGTCGGGGATCGAATCCACGACCTCCTGTGTACCAGGCGAGGTAGTCAACATCTCGCCACGGTGGTGCACTGATGGATTGTTTTGCAACGTGAGAGATGGCTACAACTTCAGGAGGGAGGCCTTATGAGGCCACTTGGAGCACGTTTAAATCTATATTGCAAACTCATTTCTTCACAACTGCTTGGTTGTGTTGGTTCGTCGTCTTTTCCCCGCACCTCTGATTAGCACGGTTATCAACGTACGGCACCAAAGAAGTTCAACAAGCATACATCTAGCAGTGGACAGGTCATAACTTATGATGATGATGAAGTAACTAACATCCACTAGCAAATATCAAACAAAGTCACAAACCTCCAAAACAAATCTGAGACCTCAACACAAAAAACACTTAACGGTAACACTAAGACAAAAAAAAACACTCAAGAGTTATCACCAAAACAAAATGAACCAGTTATAATAGAGAGCCGTACACGGTGGGTGCTGTGTGTACAAGCTAGAAGATACCCACCACGTTGTTGTATGGATCACGAATCTTGGTCAACCCGGGTTCGACTCCCGGCCACGGCTAACAGCAAGTGACCATCTGAAGTGGTCCTGGGACTCTCATCGTCCCCTTCAACAACAACTTGCCAGCCCGCGTGTTGAAGTTACTACGACTTGTGCACTAACGTGTGGGGCATCTGACAAAGGGTCGTCTCTCTCTATCTGTGTGTGTGTACATTACGCTGGGATGGATCGTTTATGAACGCGTAAAAATGATCATTAACGCGAGCAACAAAACCACTTTTGGATACTGTCGGAGAAGAGTCGAAGACTAAAAGTACTGCCTACGATCTCACTAAGAGGACATCAATCACGGTAAATAAGATTACTAATTTACACACGAACAAATACGAACACTTTTAAAAGACAAACATTTACGGTCGAGTATTCGCCACAAGAAACAGAAGAGACGTCACCTCTACACAACCAGCACACAACCACCACCAACCATTGGCACAACAATAGACACACACGGGATATTTACACACACAACCAACACTCCCACAACAATGTCAAACACGACACGTCGAGATAACATCAGACGGTGAAAATAACAACACTAAAACAACGATAATTGAACGAGAAACGGCGAAGAGAGACGTAATTAAAGACATTACCAACACTGCGTCCCAGAGCCAACACCGACATCCAATGCCAATCGATAACACTACCAAAACCCACACAACTAAAACCAACCACTCACCACCACAACAACAACAATATAAGAAGATAATCCCAAACAATCCACGGCTGAAACACAATTTCAGAAGCGCGCGCGGCGACCTCGCGGGGCCTACGATCCGAAGCCTCGGTCTTGCCTGATAGCCCTGCCGCCTGGTGCGGCCCTAAGGTGGGGTGGGGTGATGGGTGGTGGGGGTGGGGGGCCCTACCTCCCGCCAGCTCGGCGAACGGAGTCGCTGCCACCAACAGCAGCAGCAGCAGTCGCAGAAGCGGCCACATCGTGGGCTCCGATCAGCACGCAGCCCGCGCCGCCGCGATCAGCATTCCCCTTCGGATCGAGGAAAGGAAAATTTGGTAGCGACACACAAAAAACAGCCACTAATTTCTTCTTATTCGTCGTCGTCGAAGGAGGAGGAGGGGGGGGGTACAAAAAATGTATCGGACACGGAGCGAAGTTGAACCCAGCGCGACCCGCGCTACTTTCACACCCCCCGCGGTACTTCTTTTGCCGTTGCCGTATGAGCCGCGGCACAGCCCTTCCTCGGCCGCGTTACTTTAGAGGTGGAGGGATTCGCGTGGAGATGAGTGAGTGAGGGGAGGGGGGCGCGGCGGGGCGGGGCGGGGCGGGGCGGAGCGCGGGGGGTGGTGGGGGGGGGTGAAGGTAGTTCCGGCTCTGGGGGTTTGGGGGCGGGACCCCAGGTGGGAAGGGGGGGAGGGGCATCGTTGGAGGTGGCCACGCGCCCGGTCACGTGGGTGCCGTTTTTATTTAAATATATAAACACCGGCTGGGTTGCAGGCACGTCAACGTCAGACGGGCAGCAACAAACGGCACCATCGTTTCTTGCGTTGAGCTTTGGGGGGTAAAGAGACGACGTCGTTTCCATGGTGGAGCAGTGCGAGCGAAGGAAGAAGCAGAGAGAGAGAAGCGTTGCTGCCTTTGGGGCCGTCCATAAATGACGTCACGCGGTTTTGGACGATTTTTGACTCCCCCCCCCCTCGTCACACGGGGTCACAAAATGTCAGACCCCCCCTCAAATGTAACGTCACAAAGCTTTGCCCCCCCCCCCCCCCCAAAAAAAAAAACATGCTTCAAATGGCTTTAAACTATTGTCTTTGTAGTGCGTATTTAATGTGGCGCTGCACTCTGATGCTGTAGGATACAATATTTATTAAAAAGTAAATTTAATTAAGTAGAACGTGTTGTCTATATTTATTTAAAGTTGCGCATTTTGATGTGACGTCACATTTCTCAAACCCCCTCTCCTCGTCACATATCGTCACAAATGTCTGACCCCCCCCCCACCCAGGTGCGTGACGTCATTTATGGACGGCCCCTTTGCTGTGTGGCGGCTGAGTGGGGTGGATGGGTTATCACCTGGGGAGCGGTGGCGCAGCGGTTAGCGCGCTGCGCTACCAACCCGGCCTCCCGAGTTCGATTCCCGCCCACGGCCAACATCTGCGACGATTATCTGAACCGGTCCCGGGCCTCCCCGAGATCGACTCGAGTACCTGGTGCGGTGTGTAAACATCGCCACCAGGGGGAGACAAAGGCGGCCGGGTGTGGTGCTGGCCACTCACCCCCTCGTGTGCCGTGCCGGCCTTCGTAGGTGCTGCTCCCTAACAGCACTTGCCCCAACAGTATATTGAGGCTAGACGGTGGAGCTTTGTCTTTGGAGTGAATCAGTGATCATTTGTTATTCTTACTGCAGGTGTATGCTTATTATTCATCGTCAAACCACGATCTATCAATTGGGTCACCATCTCTCACACGCCCGGCGATGTTAACAATCCACTTAGCTTCAACAATTATTGTCTTGTCAAATCAGACGCTTTTGGTCTTTTCTCGCCTGTAGTTGTACGGGGTGTGGGTGTGTTCAGAACACTATACAAAATATTAACTATTTTTATTTTACCAGGTAAGGCCCACTGAGCTGTGTAACTCCTTTTCCGAAGCGACTTGGCCGCAAATGATAGTTCAATGTGGTTGGCTTATCATCATGTGGAAATGTATAGCAGCCAAATATTCTAAACGCGCGTTTCTAAATGTCGAGGGAAAATTTGAGGACCCAGAGGAAAAATCCACGCGACCACGGGGAGAGAGAGACACGCAAACTCCAAATATATACAGCAGGCGTAAGAGTCGGGATCAAACCCACGACCTGTACACATCCTGCCACCGTGGCGCACTCAACTCTTGTAGGTTTAGAGCTTTGCGAATTTAAGAGATGGGAGAGAAAGACATTTTTTTCTCAAAGGGGTTTATCATCTTCCCCTGGCTAGTCCACGTCGCGCGGTCGTGCGCTTCGCTAAACGCCACGTGGCCCTTGAGATGAGAACCGGACCCCACGCGCATCATCGCGATCAGCGAGCCCTGTCACAGACACCCACTGCGTGTGTCTACACAGCACGCTGTGAAGGACGCTGCTGCTACTGGACAGTCGGAGGCAGTCACCCTCCAGCAACGACGACGGAACTGAGCGACGCTCACAACAACGAGCGGAGCACCGGACGGATAAAACGCAGCGAGTTGGTATAATAGGGGTGCATCGGCCAGTCATCTCAGTCAGTCAACCCATGGCACCTGGGTCTGTCCTGTGACTTGCTGCCAGCGGGCGTTCGACACTTCACGTAGCCTTAAAGTGCACAGAGCCTGGCACAAACGCGGTGGTGACATCACCGCCACTTGGCGAACAACACCAGTGACGATAATCTGAATGGGCCCTGGGCCTCCCGTAGGTCGCCCCAGCCTCAAATAAGTACCTGTTGCGGTGTATAAGCGTCACCACGAGGGAGCCAAAGGCGGCTGCGCATGGTGCTGGCCAATCACCTCTCGAGTGCCGTGGTAGCATTCATAGGTGCTCGCTAACAGGGCTTGCCTCAATAGTCTCTTCAGGCTATACAGGGGATCTTTGTCTTTGTGGTAATGCACGCAGCAGTTGGCCATGTGAAAGGAAGTCGTGGGCAGTGTGATATAAAGTAGTGGGCAGTGTGAAATGATGTCGTGGGCCGCATCATACCGATGGATGCGTCCACTCAGCACGTTTGCAGTACGGACCTGGGAGAATTTCGCTGCGTTATTGCATTTTTTTTTCATTTTTAGAGGAGGAAATAAAGTGCAGTTATGAGTCGGGCATCGGCATTTTCTCATTCATCTTGGCTACCGGACCCACGCGAACACAAAATAACCCTACACACCCCTTAGAGGTTTTGATGTGTGATGACACTTTGAATGTGCAGGCCGGGTGAGGATTTTTTTCTCTTGTTCCAAACTCAAACAGCGAACACCCCCCAAAGGACGGGTGAAAAATAAATGTGGTACAGGTTAAGGTTTTCTTGGGTCTTATTGCATGGCTCACCTCGAGCTATGGATTGGAATTTCTCGAAGGCGAAATCTCTACCTGCATTTATTGAAAATAAATCGCCCGATAAGATGCCCTCATTCTTTGACGCATGAATCACGCACGCACGCGCAACAGACGGCAACAACGAGTTACCCACAACCTCGATCGTCCTGGATGCGCCAGATCAAACCTAGCAAGCTAAGCAGGCTTTAAACCTGGTATAGTTTTTTTGGCTCGGCGATTGTTTGCGATGGCTGCTGGTGCTGTCGGCTTAGGCTGAGAGGTGGCCCAATAGCAACAGTAAGTTCAGCGAGGATTCTTGAATGTTATCTGTGTGGAGCCCTTTAGCGTTATCATCTCGTACGCGTGTAGGGTTTCCTCCTGGTTCTCATGTTCCTCCCCTACCCTCCCCCACGTGAAGCCCCCCCTCCCCAACACTCACGAATGGAATTGGACAAACTTGCAAAATGCAGGACCCTTCTGGGTAAAGGGTGTTTATCCCTCGAATCTTGAGATGTGTTGATGCTTTGCAGGGATCATCATCATCGTCATGTCCTGCCCAAGTCCACTTTTTTATATCAGTCATGGTTAATCTACTGCTGGATGAAGGCCTCTCAAAGCCATTGCCATCTAGCAGGTCTGCGATGCAACCTTCTATGTAGCACTTGCACACGAGCCGAATTGATCGCTCCATCTGCCCCGGTTGACGTCGTACACTTGAATGTGGACCGTGCTCTAGTTGCTGCTCCGTCACCACTATCCTTCATCATTGGCCACCATCCCTTCATGACACATGTCCTGTACAAGTCCACTTCGTTTCCTTAACAGTCAATATGGTGTCCATTAAGGTGTGCACGCTCTCTAACACGTGCTCCTCTCCCTGTGTTTAAGTGGATGTGCCGTAGGAATGCGTTTTTTCCCCATTATCGATTAAAATGTGCACATGCTCACGTGATAAAATGCGCACGATGCCCGATCCACAAATACGAAGAGACATCGCAGCGATACACGACTCCACTGTCCCTGGCGCGGCGATCTGGCTTGACCACCTGAATGTGAAATTGTAGTTGTCGCTCTACGTCTACATCAGCAGCCGTACGAAAGTCGGAGAAGTTCGTAACGAATTGGCATGTTCTGTTAACGTGACAAGCCTTGCAAATTGGTTGGTGGTGGCGGGTTTAACGACACATTGAAACGTATGCGATCTAACCCAAACAACCTCTTTTATGGATGATATTGGTCGCCTGCTACGTGTTAAACTGACTTTAACGATTGCTTGAGATCACCGTGCGTTCACTAGTCACGGGGGCGGATTCAAAATTCTGCCGTCCCATCTGGTCGTAATTATCATTAGGCAGCCATATATTTAATGTCTACAGCTAATTAGGAAGGAGACATTGCTTCCAAAACAATGCACCACTTCTTTCCCGAGCCCACACACACCCGTGGGTGGCATTTTTTTTTGGGGGGGGGGTGGGGCAAAGGTTTCCGAGCGCAGCGTGAACAAGAGGAACAGCGCACGTGGATGGGTTCAGAGGTCAGCGCGAACGTTTGGGACACCGCAAGGAGACGCGACGAACTCTCGGACCGAGTTGCAGTGGCTCATTATGGCGATGGTAGCAGCTCGCGGTCTACCCGAGCGAAACATTTCACCGAATTTAGAAATTCGCGTTACGGGAGGGGGCCGCGTGGCTTTGGGGTGAGAGCGCTAAGTCGGTAAGCGTTGAGAGCCTGGGTTTGAATTCACGTTTCCATAAAACTATATTTTATCTGACCAGATAAGGCCCACTGAGCGACGTTGCTCATTTTCAGAAGCGAGCTGGATATCACAAATTACAACTCAACAAAGTGGCTGACCATCATCACGTGAAAATGTATAGCGGCCAACTACTCTAAACGCAGGTTTTTTTTATTTTATGAAGGGAAAGACCGGAGGACCCAGAGCTACCATGGGCTACATATCTCAGTGGGCCTTACCTGATCAAATAAAAGATAAGTGTAAAGTTTAATAGTTTATGTCCACCAAAAACACGAGATGCACGGGGAAGCGGAATGGTTGTGCTCATGCCGCCCTCTGGCGATCACAGCGCGCTACTGCAGCCACACCTCCACTCACCGCTGACTTCGAAGGGACCGCCTACTTTGTATGACCCGCCCACTTGCTCGTTAGGCCCCGCGTGGTTGGGCAAGTTTGGGGAATTGGTGGTTGTCGTTGAATGAATCAGAATCTTTTGACTGGAGGAATCCGATGAGCTATGAAGCTCTTTTTCACAGACTTGCGATAGTTTTCACAGATGTCCAGTCGGAATGGTGGCAGGGAGCGGGGGGGGGGTGTTTATTGTTGTTGCGTTGCCTGGCTCCATGGCCCATTGCCGGCAGAAGCACCGTCCACCAGAGGGAGCTCAGTCGAGACCTGGGGCCCTCTATTGCAAGGCCCGCGTGGCCACTGGCGGTCCCCTGGTGGCCTTGAGTGCGACCGCCGACAATACACAACACGTGACATCACCCCCCCCCCCCCGCCCATATCATCGTGCTGCTGTCAAACCCAATGGTTTCCAATGTGTGGCGGCCGTCACTCTGATTGTCGTGTCGCCTAACGGTAATTGAAGAGCCCTGCCGTAGTAGCTCACCTGATCTTCGACAATGTCTTTGGGTTCGACATCAGCATCCCAATACCCGCCGCGAAGTGACGTCACCAAGGATTCAGTGCCAGGCCAGGTGCACTTTAAGGTCACGTGAAGTGTCAAAGGTTCACTGACAGGTTACGGGACCGATCCAGGTGCCATGGGTTGACCGACCGAGATGACCGGCAAATGCACCACCTGTGCCCCCGACTGCACCAACTTGCTACCTTTTAGCCGACCCGCACTGCTCTTGTTGTGAGCGTCGCTCCTCTGCCCTCCTTTGTTGTTGGAGGGCGATAGCCTCCAACTGCCGAGTAGCGTCCTCTATGAGCCTCCTCCATAGAGGCCGATTTTGACACTGCTAGTACCAGTCAGGATACAAACGCACACACCCCAGCAAAAGACCATCTCACAGGGCTGGAGGAGTTTAATAGTTTTTATTGAGCAGACACTGCTGAGAAATACAACTTTTTTCTATTGGGGACTCCAGAAACCGCGTTCAGAATTGGGAGGTTTGGCACCACTAGGGTAGCGCCGTGTGGCTCAAGCTCGCGCCTGTGCGGTCTTGGACAGAATCTTGAGGTCAGAGATGCACTTCGCAATGGTCTCCTTATCCTGTGCACAAAAAGACAAAGATCACTTGTATATGATGATCATCATCACGATCCATGGGCAGATAGCCCGTTGGTGTCCACTGCACATTTTGTCACTTGTTTCCACTTTGGTGCCAGAAAGATGTGCCAACATGCTCAAGTAGTGCCACATCTTTCCGGCACCATTATTATTACGATCGCGCAAATTGCAATGAAAGACTTCCGGCGTCGCGACGCAGTAAATGCCCGGCAGCGGCTCGGGTGATAGTCGGGGCGCTCTCTGGCTGGCACCTGCTGGGGCGTGATGCTGCCCATGACGCCGCGCTCCACCCAGGTGATCATGTGTTCTTGCTCGGTGCGTCGCTGCATGTGCTGCAACGCCAGCTGGTAGTCCAGGCGTCTCTTCACCTCCCTCACCACGTGGTGCAGGCGCTCGCGCATGTTCGTCTCCAGCAGCAGGGCCACGTTGTTCTGTTCAGAGCCAGCGGGCAAACAGACGGCACCGGTGAAAAGTCACGGTACTCGAATTGTAAATGTTGTGGGTTTACTCTGCAACACACCCGTGTGCTGATCTAGCAACTAATTGGAACGTTTTGTTTAAGTGACAAACCTTACTAATTGGCTGTGTCGGGTGGTGGCCGGTTTAACGACACATTATAGAAACACGATATAACCAAAAAACCTTTATTATGGATATTGGTCGCGAAAGCATAAACAGACGACACCCCTGTAGCGTGACCCTAGTGGAACGGCGTGTCCTGGAAATAACGGGGTGCATTCAGGGGCTGGGGTGCTGTGGTAAAGCCGTTTTCTTAACAAACACCGCTTTACTTTCAAGACCAAATTGAGCCAATTTAGAGATTGTAATGTAGAGAGGTAAAAACAAACCATGGCTGAAACCACCAAAAAATTAGAAGCCAATACTGGAAAATAATATCCAATGCATGCAGTACTGCACAGTACTAAACTTGGACTGCAAGGCACGTCGCACTTTGGCGCAGAGGCAGCTAACAACACAACAGCATTGTATTTCACGCCGATTGAACTTAAATCCAACTTTTAATGTTATCATGTTTTAGCGCTCCGTTGCAGATGAGTGGCAAGCGACGTCAAGCGAGTGGACAAATTACAACGGTCAAGTGACCGTCGCATTACTCCATCCATAGGCCAGGCTGCCAACCTGTTAAACATTGAGGGAAACACAGAAATAAAACCCTGATGATGTGGAATGATTTCGCATCTGGCAAACTAAAACTGAACAATTTTTTTTATTTCACCAGGTAAGGCCCACTGAGTTATATAGCTCTCTTTCAGAAGCAACCCAGCCACAAATAATAGCTCAACGAAGTGGCTTATCACGTGGAAAATTTTCAGCAAATACTCTAAATGAACGTTTCTAAATCCATGCAAACACCATACATACAGGCTTTGTTAGGGTCGAGATCGAAACCACGACCGCCTGTATACCAAGCGATACAAATAACATCTTGCCACCGCAGCTTCCCTTGATGGCGCATCACGCGCGACAGAAGGCAACGGGGCCACCCACCTTCTTGGCGTCGAAGAGCATGTTCCTCCCCTCCACGCACCACTGCTCTTTCTTCTCGCTCTCGATGGCCTTCGTCAGGTTGTTGATGGTTACATCCCTCACCGAGTTTACACTCTCAATCAATTCCTGCCGGGGGGGGAGGACGTAAAAATTACATCCGTCCACACTCGCTGGTAAGGTAAAGATAAAAGTAACGATGGCGAGGTTACATTTTGATGCGTATAAAGTGACCCCGCATTGGTGTGCCGTTTTGAGATTATTTCAGAGAATAGCGCTGTCAAACGTGTGGAGAGGGGTGGCACAGCTGTGATCACACTACACAATGAATCCAGCTCGATGCTCGTGCATCTCACGAGCCACTGGGCCACCTCACAGATGGATAAAAGTAACGACTGGAATACGATCTGCGTTGGATTCCCGGTCACAGTCGCAACATCAGTGGCAACAGATAGCTGATCTGGACCATGGCTTCGGGCTGTGAATTGTTGACAGTATTTGTTATTGCTTATCAAATAAAATTTTGGTTTTGCATCGCTGTTGGAAAACAAAGCCAACTCGAGATTTTCGAGTGAGGAAAAAAAATGTAAACATGAATTTGATTTCAGCAAAATCAATCACGTTAAAATTAATCATGACGATGAGACCCTTATCAAAGTAAAACACAGATAAAACACTGGTGTTAAGTAAAACCTAAATATTAATTCAACACGTGATTGGTGCCATATTTGTATCCATTGCTCTTGAAAACCTTCAGATTCAAACATTCATGTCTAGGTTCAACAAATGAAAAAGTATTGCCCGTCAATTGTAGACCCTAATCGATTTTAAAAGTGATATGCAGAAAGCACAATATTTGTGGTCAAGTTCAACTTCCTAGATCTTCTAGAACATCTTAATCATTTACATCAGCCACTCATGTGTATTGGATGTATGTAGCGCTTCGAGAATATTATTCGAATTTACACCAAACACAATTGTTATTGCAACAATCACTCACTCATGGTGGTCTATATGTAGGGAGTGATGGCGTAGCGGTAAGCGCACTGCGAACCGAGTTCGATTCCCACTCACGGCCAACACCAGTGATGATGATCTGAACTGGTCCTGGACCTCTCCTAGCACGACTAAATCTCAAATGAGCACCTGGTGCGATGTGTAAGCATCACTACTGGGGAGACAAAGATGGTCGGGCATGGCACTGGCCACCCACCCCCTTGAGTACTGCTCTGGCCTTTGTCGGTGCTCGCTAACAGCACTTGCCCCACAAGTCTGTTAAAGGCTACACGGGGGGTCTTTGTCTGTTTTTAAACATATATTAAATAATTCTAGATTTGAAGCTTTCGTGACTGCAAGGATTCATACTCTTAGGTTTTTTCGGTAAAGTCACAGGTAAAAAATAAATAAAAACAAATAGAAATAAAATTATAAATCACAACGTTTCGGAGGTAACACAAGCTTCCGTCTTCAGGTGAAACCATCACAGCACAATTTCGAGTGAGGAAAAAAAAATTTGATTTCAGCAAAATCAATCACGTTGATACAACAATTGTGCTGTGACGGTTTCACCTGAAAACGGAAGCTTGTGTTGCCTCCAAAACGTCGTGATTTATTATTTTATTTATATATTTTTTATATTATCAGTTATTATTTATTTTATTATTTATTTTTTACCTATATGACTTTACCGAAAAAACCTAGGAGTATATATTAAATAAATAAATGCTTGCTCAAGCATTCTAGAACATACGTCATTCAGTTTGTCTGCGTAGGCGGCAACGTCTTTCCCGTATTTCTTGACGATGTAGACGAGGATTGCCGCCATGCTGAGGCCGGCAAAGGTCTCGTGGTTGATGACGTACAGCTCCTTGGAGAGCAGGTAGGTCAGCAGCCCGAGACCCAAGGTGTACGGACCTGGCAGTCCAAGGATCAAGGAAGTCACAGGTTAAAGGACAAAGCTTTTTAGCAAAGGCTGAATTAATATAGCACACAACTGTAATAATCATCTTCATTATCGTCAGGCAGGATCAGTCTGGATGAAGACCTCTACAAACTGTTGTCATCTGTCAATCTTATGAGTCGACAATTCCATCTAGCTCCTGCACATAAGGGTAGCAAATTCAGTGATTCATCAACTACAATGCATTGTTATGCTTACAATAGGGGTATGGTACAAAGGATGGAGGTGCATACCCTGAGTTACACCGAGAGATGGGAAGAGGAACAGGTGGATCAAACGCAAAAAGAGACATCATCTTGATTGTTAAGGAAAGTAAGTAGTGGCTGCCATAGTTGACAGCATTATTAATTCAGAAAGATCATGGTTTATGAGAACATGTATAAAAAGCAATTGATTCTCACACGCACGATAATTTTCTCTAAAAGCATCAAAACGTACTTTAGTTCGTTACTGAAGATCAGTGTTCTCATTCACTCGCGCACCTGTGACGCCGATCTTGGGGTAGAGGAACTGGAATAACTCCTCGGGGACGAAGCCATGGCGGACCTTCCCGCCAGTTTCAGGCAGCCGGGGCACAGGAGCATGGCTCTGGCTGCTCGTGTGCAGCAGATTACGGGGCACAGCGACCACACTGCAGGGGCAGGACGAACAGTCCACCAGTGAGTCGGTCAAACAGGCAGGCAGTCAAGACAGTGAGACCGCTAGTGACTCGGTCAGGCAGCTATTAAGTAGTCGGGCAGCCAGTAGGTTAGTCAGCGAGTCAGGGTATGAGTCGGTGGATCATGCAATCTGTAAGGCACGTATTGAGGTTGCAAGTCAGTGAGGCAGTTAAGCAGTCATTCAAGCAGCAAATAATATGTTAAACAGAAGATGAGCACTGTCATGTTTGAGTAGCTAACCACTGGTTGCAAAAAAAATATTTGAACGTGCCAAAGAGCCTCAGACTCAAAACAGAATGTCAATAGGACAGAGGGTTACCAATACAAATCGATTAATAGATTGATATTAATTCTTTGAGCACCTTAAAATGCATTTGATTTTTGGGAAGGATATTCAATTTATGTAAAAAAACTCTTCGTCATTATAATTTTGACAACTCTATGTTTGTTTCATATAGGTCAACATATTTTGCTCTTAACTTACCAGACCCTGGCAGCTGCAGCAGGCTTTACAGCCGCTGTCAATGAGAAAGGAAAAAAACAGGTCAATCACACTGTCTACTAAATGATTTACTCAGCAGGAGACAGGAGACGACCAGATCTGAGTTGGAGGGGACATCCCCCCAGCCCCAAGTCACCAGGTGTCTCCGAAGCGTTCAGAAGCTTCGCACATTTTATTCAAATTCAAGAGGTCAATGTCATGAGTGACAGCCAATGTCAGTGATGCCATCAAACCTCACTCTTGTATTCTTTCAGATCCCACGGCAACGGCCAAGTCATAACACGATTTGCAAGGTCAAGTACAAATCTACCCCATTATATATACAAAAAAATCCGTATATTAATCTCGGTCTTCCCCTTGTTTAATAAACACGTCCTTCAAGTATCCGCTCATCACCACAACCAGACTTTAGCGTCTCACTCATCCTTTAATCTGCCCATGTTCACCCTGCATATTTCGCATACTCATCACAACCTCGTATTCTTCCATTTCATGTACAACCTTTTCTACAAATATTTTATTCCGAACCTCCAAGTTACTTATGATTCTATTTAATTGATTTCATACCTTCCACTCACACACTCTATACAAGTTGCCAGTCATTTCCCCTTCTATCCTTCATACACCTTCAATGACACGTTCCATTTCGAATTTCCAAATTGCTCACCCAGCCCTTCCATATTACGAGCATCCTTCGGATACACCTTTGAGTACAATTCCGAGTCCAGAAGTTTAGCATATAGTTTATTTGTTAATGCCCGTCTCTCTTAACAGTCTAGCTCGATAACACTATTTAGACGCTGATAAATTCCGAATTGTTGTGCTATTGCTGTCCTTGCGTCAAACGCCCATCTCCTAACACCGAAGATGACCTCCACACTCTTCCAATGACTTATGAAGACCACCAATTGGCAGCAGACACGAACTACATACAACACGAACTACATACAGCATGTACACATGCACAAACGTGTGGACGCGTTGCTCCAATACAATCAGCAAGCACATAAATGCAGTGACGTCAATCGTACCATAGCTTTAAAGCATTTATTTTCCTCACTACATTAACACATATTGTAACGTGCGTCGGGCAACGTAGACAAAGCACGGTGTAATTAAAAATAATAATAGTAATCGGCAGCGGTCATGGTCAATCCACTGCCGGATGACATCCTCCCCAATCCGCCAACCTCCCACGACCCTGCACTGCAGCTAAACCCGGCAGGCACAAAGCGCACACGAACACATTTAACTATAACGTGCATCCACAACCACGACGAGTCGCCGTCGATCATCTCTCGACAAGTACTCTTCTACGCAGATAAACATTGACGCCGTTCCGCGCAACGCCGCAACGCCATAGGCCCGAGGCCTACACCGACGGGCCAGGCCTGTCAAGGGCACCGCGGTGTCAGCGGAAGAAGCCATCGCCTCGACCCGCGGCAGAGCGCCGGAGGAGCTCCCTACGACTGGAAGAGCGGCCGGGAGGGAAACCAGGGGAAGGGGAGAAGCAGAGAGGCGATCGAGAAGCGGCAACCTGAGAGGAGAGAGAGGCGAGAGAGCATCGCGAGGGGGTCGACTGCTCCTCCGTCTGCCCGGCGACTCAAGACTGCGAGTCGAGTGTGGAGGGCGTGACCTGGGGAGGGGGAGGCACGCGATTGGTCGGGAGGGGCGTCACGTGGTGCGCAAAGCTGAGCGCGTTGTGATTGGGTGAAAGGCGCAAGGTGGAATCCGATGAGCTGTAAAGCGCTTTTAGTTATTTTTTTAAACGCGAAGGGATTCGCGAGCGATATTATCCGTGATTTGAGGTTGTTGGGTTAGATCGTGTCAATATAAATGCGTGATAGCCCCTTGCGAATTGGTTGGTGGCAGGTTTAACGAGACATATATTTGCGAGATCTAACCCAAAAAAGTATATTGTGGATATAAAGCTCTTCTTAACAGAACGTTACAACAATACGAATACGAAACACGATACGAGTGCAAAATATACGAAAGCTAAACAAAGGAATGAAAAAAGTAGACATTAAACGATTTTTTTGTCTTACCAGGTAAAACCTGGCCACAACTGATTGCTCAAAATAAGCGAAATGGAGGGTAAGGCCGGAAGATCCGGATACTTAAAAAAAGAGGTATATAGCTCAGCGGGCCTTACCTGGTAAAAAAAGAAAGTTAATGCTGTAGTTAAATATTAGTATGAGTGACCACGTTGCGTAAGCGTCCGAGTTTCCTTCTCCCCGAGTAAGATGGCCGCCCGTGAGTTCCTCTCCCCATTCAAGATGGACGCCTTGTTAATGACGTCACGACGTGAGTCCACGTTTCCGATTTTCCACGACGAATCAAATTTATTTGGCGATGCTGCTGCCTCGGCAGTGGTGCAAAAGGACGAATTAAAAACGTTGGTTATTATATTAATATATAATATAATAACCAACGTTTCAGGCGATAGCCCTTCACAGCACATAACACACCACATTCACCTCTGTGGCCTATGCGGCCGGAACATCGCCTATTATATATTTCCCTTTGAATGCCACCGAACGGTAGTTATTGACGAACGTATTTGGGTGATTTTGTTTGTTTCCTTACGTAAGATGGATAACCCCGCCGGAGGTGGGTTTCTTCTTCCCTACCCAACATGGCCGCCTTCCCTCCCGACGTCACTGCACCGCCCACGTGTCCAGCTCTGCACCCCCACCTAAGATGGCCGCACGTGCATTACAATGGGCCAAGGATGGCGGGGGCCAAGGGTGGGGACGGCGGGGGAGGGGGTCGGCAACCTGCGGCTCCAGAACAGCAAGGCGGCTCCTTTTACAGACTTCTTCCGTGACGTAACGTAACGTACCAACGTATTAAAAATGCATTTACAATGTTGTGGATTTTTTAAAATCTCCAACACACCGGTGTTGATGTACTCGTAACGAATTTGCGGGTTTAACGACCAAAAAAAACATATTATGGGTGATATTGGTCGCGAAAGCCGACGACGTGCTAAATGTTGAGTTGTGTTCCGAATTCGCAGGGAATAAAAAAAAAAGAGCGACTTTATAGAAAAAAATTGCCTCTTGTTAATGCAATCGGACCGCGGTGCATCGTGGGAACGGGATACTCCGCCCCGCCCCCCTCCTTCGCCCCTCCCCCCCACGCGCATGCGCAGTTCGCATAACGGCGTGCGAGCACTTGAGGAGGAGGCGATCATGGCGAGCATAGAGGACATGTACAAGAACTACGGCATCTTGGCCGACGCGAAGGACAAGGTGGTCGAGGTGAGGCGAGCACGCGCTGCCGCGTGGCCGAACGAAGGCGGTGGAGGCGGCGAGGCGCCTCGCGGTACCTCCCGGCGGTGGCTGTGCGGGGTGCCGTGGTGGTTGGTTGGCAGTGAGGGGGGGGGTGGTGATGTAGGCCTCGGTGGCCATGTTTGTGTGGCCGATTGCACGGCGGGAGGGTTAGTCCCGAATTTTAATCTCTCTCTCGTACATCTTTCAGTTAACCCTCTCTTTCACCGTCCTATGTATCTCGCCTTTTCTCTCTCTTCCCCCCCCTCGCCTCAGTTTCCACCGTCTCTGTTTTTCGTGTCGCCGCTTCGAGGTCTCCTCGCAACAATAAACTCGACTCGTGTGTCCGTGGCGCAGCAGCAGCAGCGTGGTGGTGTTGGCGTGGGGTCGTGGTTCGGTGGCTCTGCATGCAATGGGACCCCCCCCCCCTCTTCCCGCGTTGTAAACCCGCAGGTCCCCTGACACTCACTATACAGGCTGTGGAGTTGTAGTTGTTGCTACGCATCTAATCCGCCATGCGAAGGGAGAAGCCTGCAACTTGGACCGCCTTGCCACGCCACTGGCTCGAGTCTTCGTCAGCTCTGTGTTCGTTTAATGGATTTGCTATGTAAAGTCTGGGTTTCGTTTTAGTGTTGTTGTTTAACTACGTCAGGTGGTACATGCTTTGTGGAGACTTCATCTTTCGTACGGCTGATTTCACATTCAGGTGGTCAAACCCAGAGGAGTGGTGTGATGTCTCATTCGCGTTTGTGTATCGGGGGCAATGCGTCGTGAAACGTTTTAATACGGTCTGTTCTGCATGACAGCATTTGCACCACTACTTGTCGAGAGTTGTGGAGACTAAGGCAGTGTTACAGACGAATTTTGTGGTTTTATCATTTGTGCTCGTGCACCACTGCCAACGCAGAAGCCGCATCAGATACTGGGTAGGTACATGTGTAAAACAAGCATGTATGGGTTGGCTTGGGCCACAACTGGTGTACTAATGAATTGGGGGGGGGATCTCTATTTCCCATCATCGTTCAACCCCGCGTTGTCTCCTTTCTGATCAGTTTAACACGTAGGCTTTCGCAGCCAATATAATCCATAATACAGGTTGTTTTGGGTTAGATCGCGTAAATATAAATGTGTCATTAAACCCGACACAGCCAATTCGGTTTTATCACGTAAACAGAACGTGCCAATTCGTCACTAGTACAGCACACCGGTGTGTTGGAGAGCCAAGCCACGAACGTTTACAATCCGAGTACGACGTTTCGCCAGTAATTACAACTAGCTTCATCAGGTGACCACCAGATTTGTTTCCACATTCGCACCCCTCTGTATACGCTGATTCTAGCTTCTCCATCTCTCTCCTTAGTTGTCTTTCCTCTGTTCCCTCTTGTCGCTGCTCTTTCCTGTCTCCCTCTTTTTTTCCCATTCTGGCTACCTCACTCTCCAACATTCCTCTCTCTCTGTCGGCTTTGTGCTCGCCTCGCTCTCTCGCTCACTTCTCTCACCAATCTTTTTCCCCGTTTACTCCCATCATCCATCTGCTCTCCCGGATGTTGAGAATCGGGGCCTCGGCACGATGTTAACGCCGCCACGTTTTCCCCCACAGCACAAGGATGCTTACCAGGCTATCCTGGATGGCGTCAAGGGTGGCCCCAAGGAGAAGCGGCTGGCAGCGCAGTTCATTCCCAAGTTCTTCAAGCACTTCGCGGACCTGGCCGAGAATGCCATCAACGCACAACTCGACCTGTGCGAGGACGAGGACGTCTCGGTGAGGCTGTGTGTGGGCGACGTGGTGGCGAGATGTTAACTACCTCGCCTAGTATGCAGGAGGTCGTGGGTTCGATCCTGACCCTGACGCCTGTATATTTGAAGTTTGCGCGTTCTCCCAGTGGTCGCATGGATTTTTCTCCAGTTTTTCCCCTCCATGTTTAGAAAAATGCGTTTCAAGTATTTGGCTGCTTTAAATGTGCACGTGATAAGCCACTTAGTTGAGCTATCATGTGTGGCCGGGTTGCTTCTGAAAGTGAGCTATATAGCTCAGTGGGCCTTACCTGGTGAAATAAAAAGTTTATTATGGTGTGGATCTTCCTTTTCCCCCCATGAAATATGCGGGTAAGGGGGTCCCAGCTCCTGGATGGCCTTTTACATATTAACATAGTTGAGTACAAAACCAAAGGCCCCATAACGTCGTGTGGCCAGCAACGAAAAGCAAAAACAAATTTGTAATAGATATGAGTTAACACATTTCTGGAATTCATCAAGATAAAAAGAGTTTTGAAAAATAGATGATGGGAGGGAATTACAAAGTGGAGCAGTGCGTAGGAAGATGCATGTTTAGTCCTGCAGTGTGTATGTTCAACTTGTGTTTCCCGTACGTAACCAATTATGCTAATCAGAGGTGCGGGGCAAGGACGACAAACTAAACACAAAAAAGCAGTTTTAAATGAATTAGTTTTCAATTATAGTCTTCAACGTGGGTGGAAGGGATCAAAGAATCAAGTTTATAGGAACTAAGGGTCGTAGCAATAGTAGAGTAATCAGGCGACTTGTCACTGGTGAGTGTTGGATCATCAGTCAATCGTAAACTTGGAATAGGTTACGTTCTGGTAATGAGATTCAGTCGTCAAAACCAGCCCAAAGATTGTTGCTTAAATATGCTGTTGGAAAAGATTTGTTCACAAGGTCCATATGCGCAATGACAATTGATAGTTTTGTATGTGGCAGGTTAACCACTTGTCTGTTTAATTATAATTGTATTATGTTGCTCGTTGAAATCTTCCACCATAGTTCAGTATAGCATATTCACAATATGTATCCTGGAGGAATCTAATGAGCTATGAAGCTCTTTTCCACAGATGTCCAGTAGTTCACACCTAACGGTTTCAGTTCTCCTCTGTGCGTTCAGATTCGCCGCCAGGCCATCAAGGAGCTGCCGCAGTTTGCAACGGGAGAGAACCTGCCGAGGATAGCAGATGTACTCACGCAGCTGCTGCAGTCCGGTGAGAAACGCTGAATGATTACAATTCATCACATCAATATTTATGTCTTCCCACATACACGGGTTGCATATAACAATGTTTAAAAAAAAAAAAAAAGGTAAATTAAAGTTTGGCAATGTTGAAGCTCAAAATCGAACATCGTGCAAAGTAATAACGACTTCATCTTCTTGGTTCTTTCGGTAAAGTCATGTGGAAGGGAAATAATGAAAACAAAACCTAAAATACAATTCTCACAACGTTTCGGTCACAACGCAAGCAGCCGTCCTCAGGTGAAGAACAGGGCTGTCGGAAAGACGCTGTTCTTCACCTGAGGACGGCTGCTTGCGTTGTGGCCGAAACGTCGTGAGAATTATTTTATTATGTTTTATTTTTATTATTTTATTACTTCCCTTCTACGTGACTTTACCGAAAGAACGAAGAAGATGAATCCCTGCAGTCACGAAAGCTTTAAATCGAAAATTAATACCGACTTGTTGGCTGTCCATGGCACGTGCCATGCAGTCCCAGTCTTGTACTGTTCCGTGCAGTAAACACCGAAGCATTGAGTCTCGTGTTCCAAAATTAACTTGTGATTTAGTGGCATTCAGCTGTGGGTTCTTGTTCTTTTATACACATTTTTTTTTACCTTTCTGCACTTTTTTTTACCTTTGTACATTACAAGTGGTCAATGGGCTAGAGGGTGTTGGTAAGAACGTTGATATAGCTGGGAGCCCCACCCCTGAACCATTCAGGTATTTTGAGGATACTACGCTGGACACCTATTGATGACTCATGATGTAACGATGTAATGATCCGACCACCACCATCTGATGGATTGTTGTGATCAGATATGAGAATATTTTTATTGTCTGCCTTGTACGATCTGTTTTGTGCAGTTACGTTTGTCCCCTTTGCCTAAAAGGAACATTAATTATCGTAGTCATTGGATACCAAACAGAGTCCCTGGGATTTGACGCTCTTAAGTGTGACTATAAGAATGGATTTTAATTGACAAATCTGAGTTGAATCGCTACATGGATAGTATTTACACCTTTACCTCGTTATTCCATGAACCATTCTTTTAATGCCACCCCATTTATAACACATTCATAGAAACATTATCTCGTATTGATGTCTACCTTTATACAGCGATTGCGTTCATAAATCCTGCATAGAACGGTCGTGCATGATGCCAAATATCCTCGCTTATACTATACAGTACCCCGTACTATACCGTATACCGTATAGCGTATATGATGCACATGTACCTGCGTATAACGTATTGCATTTTGCATTTGACTTGGAGACCTGCCCATTACACACTTGCACGTGCATGGCAATGGCGCGTTTACGTTGTCACATCGTTTTCAAAGGCCGGGTTTGAAGTGTCATTTAACCTGTTCGAGTGAACCCCCTTTGTTGCGGGTCCACAACGCGTACTTCGTTATGAACGAGGCAACAATTGTATGTGTTTAATGAATGCACCTGGAATCGTTGTTAGATGGCGTTGTGTGCATGCAAGTGTGCGGGCATGTAAAACTATTTTTTATTTGACCAGGTAAGGCCCAATGAGCAATATAGCTCTTTCAGGAGTGACCTCGCCACCAATGATAGCTCAACGAAGTGGCTTATTGTCGTGTGGAAATGTATAGCAGGAACTAATTACTTTAAACGCACTACGATTCTAAATGAGGAGCGGAAAAGCCGGAGAACCCGGAGAAAAATCCATGCATACTGAAGTTGTCCCCGTCTCTTCCCTTGTAGATGACCAGACCGAATTCACGCTGGTGAACAATGCTCTGCTGAGCATATTTAAGGTTGACGCCAAAGGTACGTATCACGCGCTCTCTCGTTATTAAACTAAACTGCGATGCGTTGGGATGGTAAGTGCGAAGTGCGATAAAAAAACTACATTAAAGTTGCTTGTGTTGGTTGTTGGCGCACAGCACAGTGTACGCTCAAACTATGTTGGCGGATTTTACATATTCTGAATATAATGGGCTTTTTTAGGGTGGGGGGATGATGATAAAAAGTAGGAAAAATTTGGACGTTTCCTACTCCCGAAGCTGAAACTAAACTGTCCAAATCGCAGACGGCATGCTAGCGCTTGCTGCCTATCACCGCGGCGCAATAATGTCACGCACCAGATGGTCACAGTTTCTTACTGTACTTTACATTGACTACTGTGGCACTGGATTGTGCGGTTCACAATCGGCTCGTGGTTTCAATCGTGCTTTTTTACCTCTTCATATTGATTTATATATTTGTTGTAACTTTAAACAAGCTATAGAAATAGCAGTACAAGCTGCAATGGTTAAACGTGGTCTTTTTAGTGCACTAAATTAACATCACGTGACAACCCACCCATGCTCTACTCTTTAACTCCGAACTCCAACTCCTCTCAGATGTTAGGAGGTGGGGGTGGTGAAGGAGAGCTTTTGGGTCTGGGGCCACCAAAAAAAAACTCATTTATCACTAAGGAGTGAACTTGGGTGGGCTAAAGAGTTATGTTTATTTTCGCCCGGAAGCCTCACTGACTCATAACTCTTTCAGGTGGGTCCTTAAAAGTGTTTTCAGTCGGGGCGTGGCGATTGCTGTGTATATTCCAAATGGGTAATTCGCGGAGTAGGCCCCACCCCATCATCACCTCCCTCCCCCGCCCACGGCCACTCGTGCCGGCCATCACCCCGCCCATGATTTAAGTGTCGTTAGTTTCAAGTCTGAACATCTTTCATCGTGCACTCTTCACAAGTCGGGTCCACCACGAATGCACGCTGGATCACACGTGGTAAGCTCTTGGGAATAATAATGTTTTTTTTTAAGTCTTGCGACATTGGCTCGGACTCTGATAGATCCCGAACATCTGTCTAACGGCTTCCATCTTGCCGCTAATTGGTATTTTTGAGGTCACCCTGTGCTTGGAGATACGGCGAGAGCCGGATAGACTCACAGCTCTGCTACACGTGCTACCGCTGCTACGCACAGGCACGCTGGGAGGGCTCTTCACACAGATTCTGCAGGGAGAGGACGTGGTGCGGGAGAGGGCTATCAAGTTCCTCTCGACGCGCCTCAAGACCCAGCCCGAGGAGGTGCTCACCAAGGAGGTGGAGGAGTACATCATGGTGGAGTGCAAGAAGGTCAGCTCTTTCATTTCGGTCGTAAGCTTGACGAACGAAGTCGCCCAGAATTCACCTGATCTTGGCACATCTCGGAAGCCTAGCAGAGGACCGAGCTTGAATAATTGCTTGGACGGGTAATCGCCATGCATAACAGGGTGTTAAAGGACACTCAGCTATGTATATATGTTGAACCTCTTTCGCGCTGTATGTAGCCAACCGTGCTAATCGTGGTGGATGGCAGTGCAGCAAAATCCGTTGGTGTACTGCACCTGTGTTCCCAAATCTGGGGTCTTTGACTGCAACCCACACAAATCCAGACTGGCTAAGTATGGTCAAGTAACCCCCACGGCGTGCACAGTAGCAGCAAAACTAGTAGCAGAACCGGCAGCAGCAGCAGAAGGTGACCCTCTGTGTGAACGTGCGTGCAGGTGCTTGAAGATGTCACGGGCGAGGAGTTCATGTCCTTCATGCGTCTCCTCTCCGGCCTCAAGTCGCTGCAGTCCGTGAGCGGGCGGCAGCAGCTGGTGGCTCTGGTGGTTGACCAGGCCGACCTGGAGCAGGAGTTCAACCCGGCGGATCCGGACGCCGTAGATCGGCTTCTGCAGTGCACCAGACAGGCGCTGCCGCTGTTTTCCGTGAGTCCGCGATGCCTCCTCAGCCGCTTCCCTCGCAACCAAGTAAAAATAGATTTCATCGTCCGTTCCTCGAGTCGTTAAATAAACTTCAGGGGTACAGCAAGGGGTGGGGAAACGACGGCCTGCGTGGCAGTCACGTTGCCATGGGGTCGTGAGTTTTAACCGCTTGCTGCAGAGGTTGCCCCGTTCATGCCCGTCGGTTGCCCTGGTTAACCCTTTCCCATTCCGAGACGTCTGCAAGTTGCAGGGTGGGTCCCGTTCACCGCTGAATCTTTTTATCTAGCCATAGCGCCGCTGTTTTTAAAGACCTTCTTGCCGCAGAGAAGCTTAGCGACACGGCCGCACTCTGTGATAGCTGGCGCCAAACTGTGCCACACGCGCTCCTCCTGCATGGTGTTGTGGGAGCCTCGGTACGTCTTCCGACCTGAAGACGCGCTGATTCAAGTTATCGTAGTTTTTGTTCGGATTCCGTTTTAATGCGGTGCACGTATATCGTCAGAATGGGAAAGGGTTAATACTGCGGATGTATAAACCACAAATATGCGGCGACTGCTTCGCAGTGGACGGTGGATGTTCTATAAATATTCCATGGCATCGGTATAATAAGCGGAGATTATGCGTGGTCCATCCCGGCGTCACGGTCCAAATTTAGCAAATTTGAAAATGTAACTCGAGTTACTTGGTGGGTAAATCAAATGCGGAGCATCGCCCTCCCTCCATCTATCGGCAGACTCTACGAGCCTGTCAAACACTGCTGCCTCCGCTTCTGTTTTCACCAGAAAAACGTGCACTCCACACCATTCGTCACGTACTTCTGCCAGCGCGTCCTCCCAAACCTGAGCCTCCTGCCAGGAGAGGAAAGTGGCAACACGCAACTCGAGGTGAGTTCAGCAACAAAGATTAACAAAGGAGAAGAACCTACCCCGTATAGCCTTCAAACAGACTGTTTGGGGGTGCAAGTGCTCGAAGCGATGAGCGCCTGTTAATGCCGCCATGGCACACGAAGGGGTGGGTGGCCAATTCCATGCCTGGCCACCTTTGTCTCACCAGGTTCATAGCACAGTGTGGTAACCACTACATTACCTCCCCCCCCCCCCCCCCCCCAGCGAAATAGAGGGGGGTAAGAAGTGTTAGTGAGCACCAATGAAGGCTGGGAGTGTTGCCAGCACCACGAAGACACAAAGTTCCTCCGCTATAGCCTTAACAGACTGTAGGAGCAAGTGCTGTTAGCGAGCACCTATGAAGGCCGGAACGGCACACGAGGGGGTTGGATTGCCAGTACCGTGCTCGGCCTCCTTTGTCTCTATAGTGGCGACGTTTGCACACCGCACCAGGTACTCATTTGAGACTGATTAGACCTAGGGGAGGCCCTGGACCTGCTCAGAATAATCGTCACTGGCATTGACCTTAAGAGGAAATCGAACCCGGGTGGCCAGCACCACACACACACACACACCTTCAAGCTCAAGGGGAGTCCATCAGAAAAACCGAGCCCCCCCACACACACACGTGGGTGTACGCTGGATGTATTTCATTATCGAGCGAGTGGAAGTTGAACTGTTGAACGCTGCCGCGTGTCTCCCGCCGCGCAGGTTTTGAAACTGCTGGCTGAGATGTCTCTCTTCTACGGCGTCGACAACGATAAGCTGGAGAGCAGCGTGAAGGAGATATTCAACAAGCTTCTCGTAAGATCCCTCGCCCGCCTCGCACTGACGACTCCTCGCAGTACCCCCCTTGGCACCGCCGCCCAATCCACCCTCGCTCAGTGGGAGGGGATGCTCATTCTCCTCTGCTGGCCACATTTTTTTCTTTATTCTGTTGTCCTTCACCCCGCACTTCCGATTAGCACGGTTGCCTACGAGGTTCAACACACGTACATACATACTGGCAAGACGAACGCAAACCGCGTGCGCCACGCTGTCCTACGCAGTCGCTCGGTGACGCCACTTGCCCAGAAATTCTGGTAAATCTACAACCTCCAAACGTTGGCTGGGTGGGGATCTCTTGTTCGTTGCCGACAGGAGTACATGCCGCCGCCACCGGAGGAGACGGAGAACGGCGACGGCCCGGCGGCGACTGCAGCGCCAGCGGCTGCGGCAGAGGCGGCGGCGCCGGCGGCGGGCGCAGCGGTGGCAGCCGTGGCAGTGGCGGCAGCCGGGGCCTCTGAGGAGCCGAAGCTGCAGTTCAGCATGGTGGAGTGCCTGATGCACACGTTCCACCAGCTGGCGCGCCGCACGCCCGCGTTCCTCACCGACGCCGGCAGCGCCGAGCGGCTCAAGGACTTCAAGCTGCGGTGTGTATGGTGGGGGGAGGGGTCGGAGGGGGAGCGCCACGGCGGCTACCGTGGAGCGAGCCGTGACTCGCGTACGCGTGTTCATGTTACCACCCGCTCCATCGCCAGCCCGCAGCGTGCCGCCGCTGCTGTTGTGTGGCTTGGTTATGGGTTAAGGGGAGTGATGTAGTCCGATTCCAGAATCGTTCATTATAAACTGTCCATTGTGTGACTGGTCATCCGGAACAGGACCATACAACATATAAACACTCAATGCCCAATCCACAATGAGGGACTCCACTGCTCTTTACGCGCTTGTCCGGCTTGACCACTTGAATGTGAAATAGTTGTTGTTGCTCTGCATCTACATCAGCCATGCGAGAGAAGTGCGTTTGTAGAGTTTCCTTCATGCTATGAGGCCTCATAGTAATGTTAGCAAATAATTTGCGTGCCGTTTGCGTAAATTCTCAATAATTGACTCTTCGGTGTTTGCCTTGTTGCCTTTAAGAATGTACAGTATGTAGAAGCGGTAGTGTCCAGTGTATATGTGCAGTATATTGTGGGGAGTGAGAGTGCAGCGGTGAACATGCTGCGCTATGAACCCGGCGACCAGAGTTCGATTCCCGCTCATGGCCAACACCAGTGACGATTATCTGAACTGGTCCCGGGCTGCCTCGAGGTCGACTTGGCCTCAAATGAGTACCTGGTGCGGTGTGTAAACATGGCCACTCGGGAGACAAAGGCGGCCGGGCGTTATGCTGGCCCACCCACCTCCTCGTTAGCTGTTCCGGCATTCGTAGGTGCTACTCGCTAACGGCACATGTCCCAAGCAGTCTTTTAAGGCTATACGGGGGGGGATATTTGTCTTTGTGTGTCTGCAGGTTGCAGTATTTTGCCCGAGGCTCCCAGGTCTACATTAAGCAGCTGAGGTCTGCGCTGCAGGGCAAGACGGGCGATACTCTCAAGACACAGGAGGTATGTCCCTTCAGCTCTGAGCTCACAGGGCGACGTTATGACTGGGCTATCCAGTTGCTCAAATGACCTATTACTCTTCAGGATTATCACTTGGTAATTTTGACTTTTGAGGATGGGGTAACGTTATGATCTGGCCAAATTTCTTTCGTAAAAAACCCTCGACCACATCAATACTCAGCCTTGACCGTGCCCACAGTTTTTGTATTATTTTGTTCGTGGTGTATTTGTTGCTGTAGTAGTCACCAGATTTCCATTGTGTAACCGGGTCCTCATCAAAAATTTGCATTTATTGTCCACTGGGGGTTTTATCTGGGCCCTAATGAAACCTAAATAAACCACGAACCCGACACAGCCGAGTGCATTTAATTGTCACGCGTTACGAGCGTTTAAAGTGTCAGTTGTTACCTGGTCCAGTGTGCAAACATCAGTACTGGGGAGGCAGGCGACCGGGAGTGTTGTTAGTCACCCACCCTATCTATCGCTACTTCCACGGACCAACCAAGCCGGTCGTCTTTGTGTTCACCTGTCGACATGCTCCTGGACATCCTGTTAAAAAAAGAGCTTTTTAGCTTCTCGGATTCCTGCAGTACAAATAAATATTTTGATTCTGACATTCAACTGTAACACTCACCTGCACATATTCATATGTTCGGCTTGCCAGTTATTTGAAAAATTCTCAATTGATTGTTGAGCCAAACCTATAATAATTGCCATGTTACACGCTTGCACACGAGAGAACGTTTAAAGTGATCGACTCTGTCGGTTGGCGGGGTTAGGGTCTTGCGACGGAAATGTGGCCACACTGTGCCATAACCCAAAAATCTATGACGGATTGCAATTAAAATTGCTCGTGATAATTGACGTTACTCTGAAACATTCGGAGAGAAACAATACCTTATTCAATCAACTTTTTTGTTCACGATGGGGTGGTATATTTGGCTGTATTGTGGAGAGAGAGCTGATGGTGCATTGAGGTAGAAAGCACGAATCGACTCTAAAACGTGACGTTGCATTTTTTTCGCAGAACAAAATCAAGGTGGTGGCGCTAAAGATAACGAACAACATCAACATCCTCATCAAGGTCAGCCACCGAGCCGTCGGGCTACCACCTCGTCCCCCCCCCACCCCCTCCTGCCCTGTCACGTCTGGTTTGTGTGCCGGTCCTCCGTTGAAATTGCCGCTCGCCTCCTCGTACGTCCCTCACCCCCTCCTTGCCCGTGCGTTCCATGTCTGCAGGACCTCTTCCACAACCCCCCGTCCTACAAGAGCGCCATCACGCTGTCGTGGAAGCCGGTGCAGAAGGCCGTTGCCCCCGCCGCCACCACCGCTGCCTCCGTGGCGCCGGCGGCCGAAGTTGGGTGAGTGGCGGTGGGGAGCCCCCCCCCCTCCCGTGACCTCGCGTTGACGCCACAACGATTTCCTGCCGACGTCGTGCATATGACGTTATCTCGCGCAGCTCCGAAAGTGTCGTTATTTCCGCTAGTTAAACACTGCAGCGGACACGCGCGCTCGCAATTTGCGCTATTTTTTTCCTTCCTCTAACGTTTTTGGGATCGCTTTTTGCCGTCGATTTAGACGTTCGTTCGTAATTTCCACGCGTGCCTCTCTCTTACCCTTGCGCTCTCCTCTCTCGCCGCGGCGCGCGTGCGTGGCGTTGTTCGTTCAGGCAAAAGCGGCGGTCTCTGGGCGAAGAGGACACCGCGGCCAAGAGACTGGTGGGCCCCAGGAGGGACGAGCGGCAAACGTACCGCCCTCCGAGCGGCAAGTACAGCGGAAACATGACGAGCTACAGCTCCTACGGTGAGCAGTCCCGCCCACCGCTCGTTGCTGGCCGCCTCTACGGCGTGACATCGTGCGTCTTTTAGAGTGTCCGCGGTGTTGTAGTACTCGTCCACTGCTTTCAACAAGAGTCATGATGATAATGTTATCGTGTAACAACGGTTCGCAGCCATCGATACGGTAGTGGGCGAAGGTGCCCCTCTTCCACATCGTGTCGGTCGTGGGGGTTGTTGACCACGCTTCGCCACGCTGGTCCGTCGTCGGTGCAGGTTGGTTCAGGATGCCAGAATGTAGAAGAACGGTGCCAACTAAGGGTTTGCCGAGCAGCCTTCTGCCACCCACAACACAGCCCCTCCACAGCCTATATGTATGTAGAACTTCTTTCTCAGCATATGTAGCCAACTGAGCTAATCGGAGGTGCGGGGGAAGGACGACGAACTAATCACAAAAAGCAGTTCTAAAGAAATGAGTTTTCAATCTAGATTAAAAAGTGCGTTGCTCCAGTGGCTTCTTAATATCGGAAAGAAGAACGTTCCAGACGGCCTCGAAAGCGCGTGATGCGGTGACCGCCTCTGTTCGAAGACCAGCCAAAAGCCGCTGCTGCGATTGTGACCGGAGTTCGCGTAATCGTTTATGCTCTTTGACACGATCCGCAAGGTATTGAGGTTCATTTGTGTCGAACTTTGTGTGAGTGCGACCTTACAATGCACCTTGGTCTCACCCTGGGATTGTGTGGCGTGAGTTTGACGTGTTTTTGTTTTGTCGTTTCACATTTCAGCAGACCGTGGTCGAGGAGGGTTCCGGGGAAGGGGCAGAGGTCGAGGTCGTGTGACCTATTGACCTCTTGACCCCCCCACCACCACCCAGTCAAGGCGAGCACGGGCAGCCTGCAACGACCCCGCGATGACCCACCCGCGTTTTTATACGCCAACGGACGAAGGACGGTCCCGTTCCTCGCCCCCCTCCACCGATCGCCCATCATCACGACCGCCAACTGCAGCGCTGTCCTGCACGGCGCGTGATCCCACACCCAACCTCTTCACTCTCAACCTTCCAACCAGACCCTGGGGCAATTGTAATTAGATCTACAGCATTGTAAGATGAAATAACAATTACACCGATTTCAGTTCATTATGAATGACCCAAGGTCTTGCTCCTAACCCCGAAACCGCCCACCCAACCTTAACCCAAACCCCGACCTGAACCCACGACCCTATCTACAACTCTAACCTTAGTGCCCCCAAAACCCTCACCTCTGGATCACACAGTCGCTCGTAATTTCATTGTTTTATACGTGAGTGTGTTCAACTGCAGAATGGCCTTTTCCACGCTCCTGAGTAAGTGTTTTACATTAACGAGACAGAGGCTCTCACTCCGCTGGGCATCGCCATCGCCGCATCACCATCGCCCCATCACCGTGAGCCCCATCACCTTGGGCACCATCACGGGTAAATGGCCCATCAATCGGTAGCACAGCCCCCGCCCGCCCGCCCGCCCCCTCGTAGTGACTATTATTATTTCTGCTTGTACGTTTGATGAGCGTAACTAAATTGCGCGTTTGACGGTCAAGTGTGTGTGTGTCCACCCCGACGGCGACACAAGTCCTCGTCTTTGGCCCGGGTGGTCGTTCTCACCCACGCCAGAGTTCCGTTTCGGGGGGTGGGATGTGGGGGGTACGCGCCGCTGCCACCGCCCCGCCGCGTTTGCTCCCCTACGGAGCAGCAGACGAAGCGGCGGTGACGGTGGATTTGGTAGGGACTGTTTCTCGTCGAGGTACGGTGCGAGGAAGAAGCGTTGGTTACGATTTGCTAATTTGTTGCGGGGCGGGGTGGGTGGGAAAGGGAGAATGTGGCGGGTTGGCGCATTGCGTTCGGAACCCAGCGAGCTGACAAGTGTTGAACGTTCACGGCTCACATCGGTGGCGATTGATATCTGAACCGATCCCGGCTCGCCGATTTGGTCAACCGCGCCGCAGCACATTTATCCAACGTCCAGCTGAATAGCTCCGTGGCGATAATCGACCCGGATGAAATGGAACATCTGAGATGGCCAGGAGAAACTGGACGGTACAAATGAGTATTTTTAAAGCGATCGATCGATTCTGGAATTAAAGCGCGGTCCCCGCACCGTGACAATTCTCATCGAATCGCCGGCGGGGCGAATCGTTGGCCACGTCTTGTGCACAACAACACCTTGTCGAGGCGAGGCTGGCGTGGCCGTGCCACTCCGTTAACTTATAGAAATCATCGAGAGGCTGTTGATGGGCAACCACTGCAGAGTTACAACCGCATCGCCTACGACGACCAGGGGGAGAGAAGGGGGGGGGATACGTAGAGATGCGTGCACCACCACAATCGGGCGCGTTGCATTCTGTTTGGAGCTACAGAGGGGCATTATCGCTCTTCACAAGCCCCCTTGATGCGGCGGTCGTAACACTGCTTCGTGAATCGTGCTGTGAACGCCATTCCCTCGGCGAGTTTTTTCGGTACAGAAGGAAATGAAATCGGGAGGATATGCGATCGAAAGACGCAACGCCATTGTAAAATGAGCTGCAGTGGGCGATTTTATGAGTAGAGATCGACCTCCATAGCGTGGTGTGCATGGTCCCGAGCGCAAGGAAATGGCCCTGTCGCTCATCCCTTGATTCGGCCTGGGATCTGTGGGCCCTGTTGCAGTCGCACCGCCCACGTGTCCTCAATGGCTGAGCTACGGAAGTAGCCTCAAGGAAGAATCTAGATAGGAAAAGTGAATACGCGTGGAGGAGGTGTACGTGTCGGCAACGGGGACGAGGGTGTCAGCCGTTCAATCTCGGCAAAAGCACACGCCCGGTTTTATTTTGGTTCGCGACCGATTTTTTTTGCTTGTTCTCGGAGGCTGTGCGCGCGGTTACTCGGCAGTGGTGCAGCAGTTGGAAGTGGTGATTACACTCTTCAGAGTGGTGGAGGGAGGGAGGCACCTTCGAGTGTGGATTTTACTTGCGATGTCGTGTGTAGTTTGTTCATTGAAGCTACCAAAATCCCATGGTTTGGCCCGGGACGCTGCGGGGTGAAATTTTTTTCCAACCTCCGGAAAGTCAAGTCTCCCAGATTTTATCCCTTTTATTTTACGTTTCTGGCTGGTCTCACCTGGGGGCAAAGAGGGTGGCGCTTACCTGAGCAGTGGGAGTGGCTTCCCGAGTAGGTGGGCGGGGCCATGGAGGTGCCAGCACTAGAATGGGCCTGGCTATAAAAAGTGGGAGTGACTAGGGGAGCATGCCAGCCTTGCTCGCAACGTCCCGATGCCGAGCCTCTTGAGAAATTTGGTAGCTGTTAAAACAAAAAGTTTTGAGCCCAGGCGTATTATATGACCTTATGTGTTTGCATGATCGTTTTATAGAAGAGTTTTCATTATGGTGACTGCATTCCAGATTTTGTTTCCTTCCCGCAGTTTAAGCAGGTGTAACATTTTGACAAATAAACAGTTTCCTCGGAACCTTGTCGACCCCTCAGTGGCACTGGCGCACAACTTCTTGCACGGCGCGTGACGTGACCAAAGCCATTGATGTGAAGCTTTCGTGACTGAAAGAACCGAAGGGTATCTTCTTGGTTCTTTCGGTAAAGTCACGTAGAAGGGAAGTAATAAAATAATAAAAATAAAACAATCAAATAATTATCACGACTTGTCGGCCACAACGCAAGCAGCCGTCCTCAGGTGAAGACCAGGTCTGCTTGCGTTGTGGCCGAAACGTGAGAATTATTTTATGTTTTATTTTTTTATTACTTCCCTTCAACGTGACTTTACCGAAAGAACCAAGAAGATGAATCCCTGCAGTCACGAAAGCTTTAAATCGAAATTTAACCAAAGGGTAGTGACTGTTCGTGCCGCAAGGCCCGGCGTGGCTTTAACGAGTTCGGGTGCGCAGGGCGCCGTGGTTCTCCAAGTCGTGTTTGGCCCTTTGGACCGCCCAGCAACTCCCAACCGCTGGTGAGAACTCATTCGTGTCTCTCCAAATACAAACCCGGAAAAAAAAAATAATTGTTACCGAAATATACAAAAAAATTATGCAGCTATAAAGGTAAGTTTTTATGAGGAGGATGGTGCCATTTAGATCTTGTTTAGTCAGGGAAGTTCACCTAACTTACATTTTTTATTTCAGCATTGTAAGTAAAATATTCATTAAATATGAATTGTTTCCGGATTAACCTCCATTTGCATCGTATCCACCCGGACCACGTGGAGGACCGTCACAGGTGGGGCCGGGGATGACTACGTTGAGATCCACTGGGTGAGAGGGTGACGTCACTCTTGATGTCCACCAGGGTAGAGGGGGTGATGTCACTTGATGTCTACCAGGGTAGAGGGGGTGACGTCACTTGATGTCCACCAGGGTAGGGGGGGTGACGTCACTCTTGATGTCCACCAGGGTAGAGGGGGTGACTTCACTCTCGATGTCCACCAGGGGTAGAGGGGGCGACGTCACTCTTGATGTCCACCAGGGGTAAGGGGGGGTGACGTCACTCTTGATGTCCACCAGGGGGTAGAGCGGGTGACTTCACTGTTGATGTCCACCAGGGTAGAGGGGGTGACGTCACTCTTGATGTCCACCAGGGGTAGAGGGGGGGTGACGTCACTCTTGATGTCCACCAAGGTAGAGGGGGGTAACGTCACTCTTGATGTCCACCAGGGTAGAGGGGGTGACGACAACGTGCTATTCGGCACGATGGTCCCGACGTCTTTGTATGAGCTGGGGAGCTTTTCACGTTTCTCTGCGGCCCTACGGTGAATCTTCTCGTGTATTGCCACCCTGGAAGGTTCATCCGGCACTGGGGGGGGCATGAGGCCGGCGCGATGGCAAACCCGGAATGGGGAACTTCTGTCTGCCTCTCGTTCATCCTTGGAGCGTCAAGTTCCCATTGAAGCCCAACGCCAGGTGGCGCTGTCGCCACCAAAACGTGACGAGCAAGTGAAACGACCACGGTGATGATCAATCGATCGGCCTCTTGTGTGTGGTATGATAAAGGGCCATTGCCCGAAACGTTGCCTATTATAAACTCGTCTTTTTTTTTTAAGGCCGCTGTGTTATTAACGAACGGTGTTAAGTTTATTTTTTTTTGTCTCCGTGCACCACTGCAGCAGCAGTACGGGTGCCACGGTGGTGATGTTAACCACCTCGCCTGGTACGCAGGAGGTCGTGGGTTCGACCCCGACCCTGACGCCTGCTGCTGTGTATTTGGAGTTTGCGTGTCTGTCTCTCTCATCATCATCATCACGGTGGCTAGGAGATGTTAACTACCTCGCCTGGTATGCAGGAGGTCGTGGGTTCGACCCCGACCCTGACGCCTGCTGATGTGTATTTGGAGTTTGCGTGTCTCTCTCTCATCATCATCATCACGGTGGCTAGGAGATGTTAACCACCTCGCCTGGTACGCAGGAGGTCGTGGGTTCGACCCCGACCCTGACGCCTGCTGCTGTGTATTTGGAGTTCGCGTGTCTCTCTCTCATCATCATCATCACGGTGGCTAGGAGATGTTAACTACCTCGCCTGGTATGTAGGAGGTCGTGGGTTCGACCCCGACCCTGACGCCTGCTGCTGTGTATTTGGAGTTTGCGTGTCTCTCTCTCATCATCATCATCACGGTGGCTAGGAGATGTTAACTACCTCGCCTGGTGTGCAGGAGGTCGTGGGTTTGACCCCGACCCTGACGACTGCTGCTGCATATTTGGAGTTTGCGTGTCTCTCTCTCTCTCTCATCATCATCATCACGGTGGCTAGGAGATGTTAACTACCTCGCCTGGTGTGCAGGAGGTCGTGGGTTCGACCCCGACCCTGACGCCTGCTGCTGTAGATTTGGAGTTTGCGTATCTCTCTCTCACCTCATCATCACGGTGGCTAGAAGATGTTAACTACCTCGCCTGGTATGCAGGTCGTGGGTTCGACCCCGACCCTGTCGCGTGGATTTTAACCGGGGCCTCCGGTTTTTTGGCTGCTATAAATGTCCACTGTCATTTGCGATAACCAGGTCGATTCTGAAAAAGAGCCAAACATCTCAGTGCTCCTCTTACCTGGTGAAATAAAACTAACAGCGTTGTATCGTCGATCAAACAACGGGGTGAATAACTCACAAGACACGACATACGACTCGCCCGACCCACGAGACGACACAAGTTCGCCAGGCAGACGCGAGCACTCGCCCGAACCACAGTGACCTCACGAACTCGTCGAGTCCTCTAGGCTGCCAATACTCCCACAACACTGGCCCTAAAAAACAACAACAACGAACAAACACCCTGGTTAGTTCGCAAACGAAACGCTCCGTCTCAAGACATTTTTTTCCAGGTGTAATATCAACAAAAATGCGTTTGCTTAAAAGCCATATCCTTCTCGCTCGCCCTCACGCTAACAAACTATCCAGCCAGGCCCAGATCACTCGGCCGAGCTACGCACCGTCGCCAACTCATTGCCAACCCGAACAATATTTTTTAAAGTTTCGATTTAAAGCTTTCGTGACTGCAGGGATTCATCTCCTTGGTTCTTTCGGTAAAGTCACATAGAAGGGAAATAATAAAATAATACAAATATTAAACAATAAAAATCTCACGACGTTTCGACTGCAACACAAGCAATCATCATCAGGTGTGAAAGCCACAGCAAGAAAATTTGAAAACCGCCACTTTTTTTAAATGTTCTTGCTGTGGATTTCACACCTGATGATGGTGATTGCTTGTGTTGCAGTCGAAACATCGTGATAATTTTATTGTTTAATATTTTTATTATTTTATTGCTCCGCTTCTACGTGACTTTACCGAAAGAACCAAGAAGATTTAATGGAGTTGTTTTGTTGTTGCTGCTGCTGCTGAATGAGCCGTCTTCACGGCGACTCCGGCACGCGGCTGCTCGTGGCACCAGCGGCTGTCGCGGACGCTGCCTCTCGACGATGTTGAGAATTTCGATGTAAAGCTTTCGTGACTGCAGGGATTCATCTCCTTGGTTATTTCGGTAAAGTCACGTAGAATTGAAGAAATAAATTAAAATAAAAAATAGTGAGAATTATATTATTTTATTATGTTTTATTTTTATTATTTTATTATTTCAATTCTACGTGACTTTACCGAAAGAACCAAGAAGATGTTGAGAATGTCTGGCGTTTGCATGTTCACCGCGGGCACGTGTGGTTTGATGCAGGCTTGATTCCTTGCTAAAGGTTTCTGTTTGTTGTTTCGACATATTGACACCTCCCGTTGCATTGCTCGGAAGGGTAAAACCCAATTCCGACGATGTTGAGAATGGATGCCACCGCTTTTGTGAATGGAGGCTTCGCTTGCAGCGCGCGTGCAGCGCTCCATCTAGCGGCGGATACTCTCCCACTGCGCCGTCACAAAGACAAAGATCCCCCCCCTCGTATTATAGCCTCAACAGACGCTTTGGGGCAAGCGCCGTTTGCGAGTAGCAGCACCTGTGAAGGCCGGCGCGGCGCACGAGGAGGCGGGTGGCCCAGAAACACGCACGCCCCGGCCGCCTTTGTCTCCCCAGTGGCGATGTCTGCACCACACCGCATCGGGTACTCATTTGAGGCTGAGTTCACCTAGGGGGAGGCCCGGTCACCGGTTCAGATAATCGTCGCTGGCGTTGTTGGCCGCGAGAGCACGAATCGAACTGGGGTCTCTGTCGGCTTCGCAGCGCAGCGCAGTTCGCTGCGTCACTGCTCCCCATCGTTTCAGGCCACAAGCCACGCGGATAAATAAATAAATGCGATTCTCGTGAATAAAAAAAAATCCGATTTGGTCGAAAAAATTGATAACTTAAATATTCGGTTAGCGCAGCTGCAGTGTAGTAGTAGTAGTGGAGTGGTCATCTACTTCGAAGCACTGTCTACCCATGCAGTGGATACATTCTATGTGTGAGAGATCATCCGGCAGTCTTTGTTGTCTCTCTGTGCCCTGCGCTATGATTCCAGCGAGCCCGAGTTCGTTCGATTCCACGCGCAGTTTTAGCGGCGCGTGGAATGTCTCGGGACTCCCCTAGGTCAGCTCAGCCTTAAGTAGCGAGCACCTCGTTCGGCGGTGTGAACATCAACGCTTGGGAAGACAAAGGCGTCCGAGCGGGGTGATTCGGGCAACACCACTGCCTCGTGTGCCGATCCGGCCTGAAATCATCATCACCACCGTCAACTATGATATATCCACTGCTGGCTGAAGGCTTCCCCAAAGCCGTCGCCATCTGCCACGGTCCTGCGCTGTTAAATCCATCTAGGGGCAAATATAATATTATTTTATTAAGTGATCATAATGATGGCGATGATTGTATTGCTCCGTCTCCGCGCGCGCGGCACGACCCTCTCGGGCTTGTCTTATCCTCCCCGACCCTTAAATAGTCGCTCGCTAACAACGCTTGCCCCCTCTACAATGTACACACACACACACAGTGTAACGCCGTGCTGGGGATTGTTTGTCTTGGTACATGCTGTCTTCACACGTGCTTTTCCCGGGCTCCCCTCCCTCCCTC